AAAAATTACATATTCTGACTCAGCATTGAATGGACTTTCATATCTAATCAAAAAATCCCGAGTGCCAGCTTAGCAAATTCTGTATTGTATTATGACTGTTCTTAGATGACGGTTCTACCCCAAAAGACCTAAAACCGAGAAGACCTAAACTAAAATAACTAACTGACCAATGGTCGTATTTTAAATTTGATGAGTAAAATAGATTTGTCCTAACCTCACCTAACCTACCCTAACCTAAATTAAATCAAATGACCACTTGTAAGTTAGCTATTTGAGTTTAGGTCTTTTCGGTTTTAGGTCTTTTAGGAGAGTCCCTTAGATGACTCATATATAGCTGAATATTTAAAAATTAATGAAAACTAATAATAGTAACTATAAATTATTATTTAATTTATATTTTAAAATAATGATAATAATTTTAAAGTTATCTACAATTGCTATTAAAACTAAGAAATATAGTGAATAATCTTTTACTATTTTGATGATTTAAAAATTATTTTCCAGAAGTTAATATAACGTAAATAATAGTTTAGTATCTATACGATAATTTATATTATTTCATTACATAAAGCGATTGATTAAAATTTATTAATTTTTCATTAATTCCCATTTTATTGGTTGTTTAGATAAGAATTTAAAATAACAAATTTTTTATAAACAACAATTTTTAGATGTTAGTGATAATGTTGGCGTGAACATTAAAAGAGAAATTGACAATTTAAAAAGAATTCAATCCGAGTTTGTGGTAAAGTATTACGATAATTGGTCCGAAGGCAACAAATTATTTATACAAATGGAGTTGTGTTCCGATGATCTAAAGAATATACTTCAAATGAAACCACAATTCTTTGGGCGACAAAATGGAGAACCAATGGATTTATACGAGTACTTCATTTCGTGTGAACTATTCCGAGAGATTTTAGAATGTGTTCAGTATTTGCATGAATTGGATCCACAGATCATCCACAGAGACCTCAAACCGGAAAACATATTGATTGATAGGCATGGGAGGGACGGTAGATTTGTTAAGTTATGTGACTTTGGTTTGGCTACAGTTCACGACAAACGTATAAATTGGATCCACAGATCATCCACAGAGACCTCAAACCGGAAAACATATTGATTGATAGGCATGGGAGGGACGGTAGATTTGTTAAGTTATGTGACTTTGGTTTGGCTACAGTTCACGACAAACGTATGCACGCCCAGACTGGCCACAAACATACGGCAGATGTCGGGGATATCCACTATATGGCACCGGAGGTAATGCACGGTCGCAAATACAACCACAAAGCAGATATTTATAGTCTGGCAATAATAGGTGGAAAGATATTTGAAATGATTATTGAAACAATTGACGTAGACAAGTAAGCAAAATAAATAAATTATTTGATTTAGTCATTTAAATCTATTTTAAATTATATATATATATAAATTTATATATATAATATAGTCCAATACCATATTCTACCGATTCGACCAATTGTAATCTACTTAATGCACGGGTACAACAGTTGCAAACAATATTGGATTCAATGTTTACGCTAAGATGGCTTAATAGACCTGAATGTAAGGATGTATTGGATGAATATGACAAGTGGTCTATCGATAAGAATATGCTGACTGAGGCTAAAAATTTATATACCACTTTAAATAATTGGAAAAAACGTGATGATTTATTTTTCTGTGAATATTTACAAAATAAACTGCAAATATCTGTGGAAGAAAATTTTGTAATTAAAATTAATAATGGGCATTTTATAAAAACATTTAATGAAAAATGTACAATTGGAGCGGGAGGATTTGGAATTGTGTATAAGGCCGAAAATAAAATTACAAATGAAATATA